AGATGTTTGTGTGTACCTGCAGATGTTTGTGTGTACCTGTAGATGTTTGTGTGTACCTGCAGATGTTTGTGTGTACCTGCAGATGTTTGTGTGTACCTGCAGATGTGGCCATGAGGCCTCCAGTGTCGGCTCATCTTCCTCGGGGTCAAACTCTGGATTCTCGCTGGGAGGAAGCGTGCGGAAAATATTAACTGAGATCTGAAAACAGACGGACAGGAAGAGGATGAGGAGGAGCAGGAAATGGAGGAGGAAGACGTGCACACAGGTAAAACCCAGGAGGGGAGGGAAAAAGATTAGTGAAAAACTAAATGATGGTATTTATTTAAAAATATATTTAATCTGATTAAACGTTTGTATTCTTACTGTGAACTAAAACAGTGAGACGGTGTAAAGTCTAACCAGCTGCTGTCGATATAAAACGTCCTCGCTCAACAGGTTTTAACAAATTTAATATTTTTAATTCACATATTTTAGCAGATTTAAGCAACACATTAAGTTAAATACTACTTACAAAACTAATCCGAAGATTTTTGAAGGTTTGAAAAAGTTTTTTCATTTTTTTAAGTTTTCAGAGAAGAAAAGTTTGAATTTTGGATTTAAAATATTTAATTCTCTTAGTTCAAAATTACCAACCTGATCAACGCATGAGGGAAAAAAAAACAAACGTACATAAATTTATATTTATTTGAGGAAATGAAAGAAATTTACTTTTATTTTTTCCAGTTTTATATTTCTTTCTGTAAATGTTTCAACCTGATGAGCTTTAAAACATTTCCAATAAAGTTTTTTTTTTTTTTTTTCATTATGGTTGAATTTGGCAAAATTATTCCAGAAATTCCAAGGCCGCAACAGAAGTGCTAAAGCTAGCTGCTGCCGCTGCCGCTGCTATTTGCGTTTACAAATACAGTAGTCCCTCGATACTTCACGGTTCGACTTTCGCGGGTTTTCAACGTAAGATTGTACATGACACATGACTGATCAGTGTTTCCCCTAGTTAGCTTGCCATGGCGGGGTGCTCATCTCATCCATGATTTTTGCAGATGGGGGGGACGGAGACATGTCTGAGCGCAGCTTGTACTAAAAGTTTTTGAGCGGAGGCGGGGGGCGTTCAACATGAGGGAAGAGGCAATGCGAGTGCTGACTTTGGCTTTTTAGCTAGAGAGCCTATATTTTGTGCTGCTAGCTTAGTGATATGTCAGTGCTGGGTAGGGGTGGGAGGGGCAAGTTCAGTTTGGTAGGCGGGGTGCTCAGTTCTGTTGACGGGGTGGGGCACCCCGCCTGTATAATGGTAGGGGAAACACTGCTGATTGATGGAGGGCGACCAACCAGAGCATTGTGCTGAGGGGTGGACCGCCCATCGGACCACCGGGACATTTCCCGGTGGCCTGGCCCGCTTAGTGATACCAGAAGGACCCCCTCCTTTCTCTTTCTGAGGCTGTCAAGGTAAAGCAGACACACACAGGAGGGGGTGGGGTCTGTCTTTCGCCATCGCTACTGCTCAGGGAGCTTCAGTGAGGCAGATACCTGCGTGAGCGGAGTGTTTATTTAAAATAATCAAGCACGACCCGAATCGAGCCTTTCGTACAACCCCTTGACGATCAGTAAGCGGGCCAGGCCACCGGGAAATGTCCTGGTGCTCCCGATGGCCAGTTGCCCCCGGGCTCAGTAACCGTACCATCAATCTGTCTGCGCTTTGGCTGTGCTCTTTTAACAAGTTTAGAACATTGCATGAGTGTGGGAAGGGTTTATAAAGCCTTAAAATATTTATAAATACTAAAATAAATCTAACATCCCTACTTGGTGGATTTTCATCTATCACAGGGGTGTCTGGAACATATCCCCCGTGATAAGTGAGGGACTACTGTAACCATAAAACTAGGTAGTTAACCAAGTAACGAGAAGCTGACGGTGGTGTAAACGTTTAGAAGAGATTTGGTCTCCGGTCGGCAGTAAACAGCTTTGATGTTGACGCCGCTCAGACTAGCCGTTAGCTCATCGTCAGTGTTTCGTATTTTTTCATTTCCGAACGTTTTTAACGTTTGCAGCTGATTTACAATAAACGTTCCCAAATAGTGAATAAGTTAATTAAACACTAACGTGTTTGACATTTTGAAATGTAAAACGTGTGGGAGCCGTGTAAGTGGGAGGCTCTGCCACAACAAGAAGCTGCTGTAAAAAAATCTCTTTGTACTAGTTTTCAGTTTCTAAGCAACTCCAGCTCGTGACGGGGACGTCTAACGCTGTGATCCAACGACTGATAAGTCATGCAACGCTCAGTCATAATTTATTCAGCAAAAGCATCTCCGCTGGCCACATTAATTGCTCACTTTAAGGCACCGTGTAAACCTTGATTAGATTTAAAATGAGTCGCCTGCTTGTTGGTTTGTTTTTTTCTTGTTAAATTCTCTGCGGAGTAAAAACCCGCGCAGGTAGGACTCGTCTCGGCCACTCCAGCTGACCTGCTCGTCATTCCGCTGCTATTCTTATCCTCAAACCGTCACGTTTCTCCACCTTTAGCCTCCGCGGCTGCATGCAGAGCACGTCCGGCGCCGAGACGAGATCCGTTTAACGCGCCGGCGCCTTCAGAATGAAACCATCAGATAGCTGCTGATCCGACCGCAGAGCTCGAGTTCTGGTTTGATCTGGGACCGTTTCAGCAACGTAAAGATCAGAACTGACTATTTGAAGATGGTTTGATGAGACTTATTGCGAGGCTTTAATTTGATTGAATTTGTACTTTTTTTTTTTTTACCCAACATTAAACCGTTACTGTATTTTCACGCCTCGGGGTGAAAGCACTCAGGGCTATAAGCTCTCGACGCTCTGCAGCCTCTTCTTGCTCCATGTTCTGCTCCTCTGGGATCTCTGCTGTCCACACTCTGCACCACTTTATCTCTCCTTCCCATTCCTGCTCTTATCATTATGTGTGCAGAGTGTTCCTCCCTCTATTGTTACCCTCTTCTCTTCGTTCATCCCCTTATCACTTCATCCATACGCTCTTTTTCTTGCTGCCATTGATTGGATTCACACATGAGAGTCTGTCCGTCCGTCCGGCAGCTGACCCATTTACACATCAGCTCGACCAGTTAGCATCTGGCGCCAAAAGGCACAAGTGGACAATCTTAATTTGCATAAACAGGACTGAAATTTTTTTTTACGAGATTATAGCTGAGAGTTCTATCTTTTAGTGTAGGCTGCATTTCTTTAGAGCTTTCAGGTGTAAATATTCAGTCACTTTTTTTATGTACAATCGTGAGAATAAAGTCGTGTTTGGGTCCTCGTGATGTTGGTCCGACACTCAGGAGCACTTCCTGTTTAACAAAAGTACCACATTAAACACCTGTCAACTAACTATCTATAGCCTGGACAAGCTATGACCTTGTATAATATTTGACCTTGATTAATGACCTTGACATTGAAGATGGAGTGTATGGGACACTCTGTCTAGTGATGATGCAAACGTGTGTGAGGTTCTGTTAAATTATCGAGACGCTCAAAAGTTATGAGCAAAATGAGGAAAGACCTTCATTTAACTTTGACGTTGATTTGTGACCTTGAGCTTGGAGCTGTGGGGGAGGGGGGTCTGAGCAGATCACAAGTTATGGGTGGGACAAGAGAACGTTACCGTACGTATGACGGGCGCATAAAAAGATCTGCAGGTTGGAATCATGCTGCTTTGAGTTTTAGCTCCTTTGAACATTGTGTATTTGTAAGATCCAACATTATTGTGCGAATGTTTAAGAAGCATTCACACTATTGTGATCCATTTTTCTTCTGTACTCTTTTCGGAGCGTTTCTCGTCCGGCAGTTTTGAAGCTATTTCAACGATTCATAAATCAGAACGTTCAGCTCTTTCAGGACAATCCTGCCATGACGTTTGGTATTGGTGCGACTTTAGCTTTTTGAAATATTTAGCCTTTTCTGACATTTTTTCCTCATAGCAAAAGAAATTGAGCTCATTTTACATCCTTCAGATCTTTAGCTGTGTTTACAACCTTTTACTGCTCCTTTCACTTTTTGTTCTGCTTCAGCTTCTTTCAGCTTCCTTGTGCAAAAATAAATAATTCAGCTACTTTCAGCTTTATTCTGCTAACTACAACATGTTTGTGCTTCTTCTAACTTCTTTCAGCTAATTTCAACTTGTTATGCTCCTTTCAGCTTATTTCTGCAAGTTTAAGCTATTTCAGCAACTATTTAGCTGTTTTTATAATGTTTATTTTCAGCTAATTCCACATTTTTTGCACTCGTTTAAACATTTTTTCAGCCCAGTTCAGCAAAAATGTGCTCTCTCCACTTCCTTCTGATAATTTAAGCTTCTTTCTGCTTTGTTAGCTCCTATTCAGCTGTTTTATTTATTTATTTATTTTTTACAAATTTCTGCTTTTTCCAGATAATTTTCACTTTTTTTGTGCATTTCTGCTTCATTCAGCCAAATTGGGCAAATGTGTTATTTCTGATTTCTTATGCTAACTTAAGCTTGTTCTATATTTCCAGCTACCATTTTAGCATTTTTTTAGCTAATTTCAGCTGTTTTCAGTTAAATTTAATTTTTTGGTGGCAACTTCTGCTACTTTCAGCCTAATTAACTTCTTTCTGACAATTTCAACTTTTACGCTCCTTTCAGCTTATTTCTGCTAGTTTCAGTTATTTCAGCTACTATTTAGCAGTTTTATGCTCTTTTTTAGCTGATTCCACATTTTTTTGCTCATTTCAGCTCTTTCCACTTCCTTCGGGGTAGTTTAAGCTTCTTTCTGCCTTTTCAGCTACTTTTCAGCTTTTTTTGTTGCTAATTTCAGCTTTTTTTAAGCTAATTTCATAATTTCTGTGCTCATTTTTGCTTTTTTAAACCTAATTCAGAAAATCTGTTTTTTTTTTTCCTACTTTCTTTTGCTAATTTAGGCTTGTTCTTCCTTTTCAGCTAATATTCAGCATTTTTTTTTTAGCTAATTTCAGCTGTTTTTCAGCAAGTTCTTCAGCAACAAGCATTCACACTGCATGTTTGCAGTGTCTCTAGTTAAAATGTCATTCTCTGCCATGCTTTTATTACTTTTAAACAAACACACTCATCTATGGACTTCTCTGATTTTTGAGCTTCCTGATCCCTCCTACCATTTTTATCGCCTCGGGGTAGAGAGGTTCTATGAGGACCCCTCTGCTCGTGGCCACGCTCTCCACCAGCTCGTTCAGCGCCGCACGTTTGATCTCCTTCCCTTTCAGGTCGGCCACACAGTCCAGGAAATCAAAGAGCACGCAGCACTGCTGCAGCTTCTTGCAGAACAGGTCATGTAGCTCTGCCACCGGGGCATCTGCGGGGACGACAGGGACAAAACAAAACTGTTAGACATCGAGGTTATAAGACGAGGAAAAGGTGACAAAGCGCAGCTAAATCCATCCCTGAAAAGTGCTTTTGTGTGTTTGAAAGTAAACCATTTGACAAAGTGTTGACGTGAGAAAACAGGAGCTGGAGGATGCGTATTGAACAGGACGGATCTTCTCTCAAAGGTAATAAAGAAAAGAGAGCAGGAGTATTACTCCACAAACACATTAGTACGAGCCCTCACAAACACACACCTTCCTCCAGATTGTTGAGCTGGATCTGAGTCCCAACATCTGTCACAAACACGCCGAACACCTGGTCGGCTCGTTAAAACAACCTGCTGCCCGTCACCGCATCCAAAGAATTGTAACGTTTTCTTGCAGATGTTTAAAAGAAACAGTCGAAATCCACTGATGGCTTCTCGCGTACGATGAACTTTGAACGGCGTCCAGGAGCCTGCGGGTGTGAACGTTAGCAGCTCAGCTTGTGAAGCATCACACAAAATCAAATAAATAAATGCACAAAGCAAAATCTGAGTTACAGGACGTGACAAGCAGCCAAATGGGACTGATTTGTTCATGTGAGTAACCAGATGACTGATTATCAGGCAGCTAAAGATAGCAGTGAAACATCCACATTTAAGGTTCTTACATAAGAGCTGAGGGTTGAAGAATGTTGGTTCATGTATGTTTTTGTGCAGATTGTCACATTTACCGACCTAATGTGATGAAATTAAATGATCAGGACAACTAATAAGTAGGTACAGGAGGGTATTTACCACTAATGTCATGATGGAAACTCGTATTCTTACGTAAGCCACAGCAGAGGTCATCCGAGAGATGCTTGAGTTCAAGCGCCCTTCCGTGAGAAGGTCGCAAGCCAAGGTCAAGAAAGCCTGGACGGATGTTAGTCGATGAAGCAAAGTGAACAAATGAACAGATGAGTTGGAAGAACACATACAGACTATCACAGGTAAGAGTCGAAGCTCCGGCTTCTCCCACCAAGAGTCAGGGCAGAACTAAATAAAAGGCCTCTTCTCTAAATGTCCACCAGGAGCGTGCACGCCAAGCTGAAAGAGAGCACGACAAGGAGCCACGGCTGAGACTGAACTCAGAGCAAGGAGGTGCCGAGTAGCCAGCAGATTTATGAAATATTAAATAAATAAACTAGAAATCCTTCCACAGCTTATCTAAGACAGAAAACATTCCAACTTCCACTATTCGATAGGATGGATGGATGGATGGATGGATGGATGGATGGATGGATGGACGGACGGACGGACGGATGGACGGACGGATGGACGGACGGATGGACGGACTAAGTGTCCATGCTTTCTCTTGTTGTTGAGAATTGAAGCCACAAGATCCTGATTCATGGGAGCTGCCATAAGCCATTTTTGGGACCAGAGTCTGAGCAGTAAGGATGTGGAGGCTTTAAGCCCCGCCTACTAACCTTCACAAAATCATGGTACCCAAATTTGTTTGTTTGTTTAAACAAGAAATAACTAATTACAGCAAAACCTGTTTGAAATGTAGATTTTGTAGTATACAGCAACAAATTATTAATACATGAATCTACATGAAAAGTTAACCCCACCCCCAAATATCTGAGGTACTTTACCGTATTTTTCGGACTGTAAGGCGCGCTTAAAATCCTTTAATTTTATCAAAAATCGACAGTGAGCTTTATAATCAGGTTATTAATTCTGGTTGTGCTGACGGACCTCGAACCAATCTTATGTGGTTATTGTGAATGAGTAAAATTTGACTTATCTGTTTTGTTTCACTTAATGCGCCTTATGTATGAAAACAGACCCGTTCGTTGATATTGCGCCTTAGTCCAAAAAATACGGTAACTATTTTACCAACAGGAGGAGCTCGGAGGTCAGTTTGGGATTTGAATCTCTCAAACAACTTCCATAATCTATAAACATCAATTTTAATATGGCAGACCTGAAGGACCAGGAAGACCAATGTAGATGGCACAGAGGACTCTAATCGTGATCCCCCTTTGAGCCCATCTGTCTCTTCCTGAGCAGGATGTTAAAACATTAGAAGACGAGGAGGAGATCTTCAAAATTCGGGCTAAACGATATCGTTTTGCCTCCGAGAATGATCCACCAGAGTGGAAGGAGAGGGGAACTGGTGACGTCAAGCTGTTGAAGCACAAAGAGAAGGGCACAATTCGCCTCCTGATGAGGAGAGACCGGACCTTGAAGATAAGTGCCAATCACCACATTGTTCCTGTGATGGAGCTGAACGCCGGCAGTGACAGAGCGTTTGTGTGGAACACATTAACAGATGATGCTGACGAGCGCCCCAAACAGCAACTCCTGGCAATACGCCGTTTAATGCTCAGAAGTTCAAAATGAGGTTTGATGAGTGCAAGGAGGAGGTCAGAAAAATCCTAGAGAAATCAGGTGATGCTGAGAGTGCGGATAAGGTGGTCGAGAAGCTGGGGGATCTATCCGTTAAAGACAAGGCATCAGAGGAAAAGAAAAGAGAACAAAAAGAGTGAGACGAAAGAAGATGAGAAAAAAACAGGCGAAAGCTGAGAAGAATTAAAAACCAAGAACTTTCTTTGCTGAGCTTCAGTTTATCTTTTTTTTCCTCTTTCTACAATAAACTCTTAAGGAACTGTATTTGGACACTTGCATATGAGTTTTTTTATTCGTTTTGCCTCAAGATTACAAGTCTTTGATGCCACTGGGGAAAAATATCAGCAAAAGTGTAAACAGCAAAAAAAAACGTGCTTCCTCCCACCTTTTTCTCTCAGCACAAAGGAAAACCACGTTTTTCCATTTTTGACATTGAAAGTTACTATTGACAAACTGTGACGAGGCTTGTGATAGTGATAATTCCCACATTGGGGTATTTATTTATTTTATTTTTGTTTTGTTTTGTTTGCTCTTCTTCGAAGGTTGGGTGGGTGGGTGGGGGGGGGGGGGGGGTAATGTAGCCTTCTCGTTAGCAGCACACGGTCAGGAACCAGGCATTATGGAGGTGCTTTACAAAGATGGGAGTGTTTCCCCTAGTTAACTTGCCATGGCGGGGTGCTCATCTCATCCATGATTTTTGTTGACAGGGGGGCGGAGACATGTCTGAGCACAGCTTGTACCAACAGTTTTTGAGCGAGGGCGGGGAGGGGGGCGTTCAGCATGAGGGAAGAGGCGCCTTTAGCTTTTCAGTTAGCGCACCTGTATTGCGCGCCGCTAGCTTAGCGCTATGTCAGTGCCGGGGGGGTGTCGGTTTGGTATGCGGGGTGCTCAGTTCTGTTGACGGGGTGGGGCACCCCGCTTGTATAATGGCAGGGGAAACACTGGAATGAAACCTGTGAGGCATCTCGATGGGCCTTCAAACCCTGTCCACACTTCTACTGTTAGATTACAAAGTGAAGACTTCTCGGTGGGTGCTTTGTAGAGCTAGTTGTTTCTTGGTTCCCTCTTTATGCAGGTCTAATGGTAGACTGGAGAGGAATCCACTCCAGACAGATAAAAGGCGACGGACACAGGTCAAAATATTCACTTCTAGCTTACTGACAGAGATGCACTTGCAATATGTGTTTATAAAATTCGTGAGTTCGGCTTTAATTCAGCTAACAAAAGCACAACTTAGCATCGCATTAACAAAAACAGTGACTAAATGGGTTTTATGTCTAGAACTTGGTCAAGTCTTAAAACAGATGATCATGTATCAAAGGTCCAGCTCACCAGTGGCTGTCTACATGTGCAGCTGGGAGGGATGATCTTAGATTCATACCCACACGCATTAACGCAGCAGGAGTGGATTAAATTTAACCCTCCGGGTGTAAGAGGAGGCCTGGACCTCCAGCCCCAGACCCCCCTCACCTCCTGTGGGTACACCTCGACCATCTGCTCCCTTTGGCACCGAGTCCAACAAGAAAAGACAAGCGCTGTCCTTGACCCGAGATGGCGATGCTTTCTTTAGTGCACCGAAGGCAGCATTTATATTCATCAGCTCAGTTTTCTGACTCTTAGAGGTTGAACTCAGGATGTTTCTAGGCCGGTCCGGATTAACCTTAAACCTTAGCCGTCACTTCTTTATGACCTTCTCGCCTGCTGTAAACAACGCCTTGCGTTGGTTTCGTTCACATTCAGAGTTGACTGAGTGGCCAGTTTGTTCTTGAAGTGCTGCCATTTCTGTGAGCCCGAACACGAGCGTGTTAAAGTTCACACTATGTTCTAACTGTCTGCAAAAACACTACAAAACTAAAAAAGGACAAACGCATCTTCTCTCCTGTGTCACATGCATTTGGGCTGGTTGATACTTAGTGCCAGCTTTCAACGCGTCACTCCCCTCCCACTCTGCCCGTTCTGGATCTTCCAATCCCTCTTTTCTCCAACCCTGTTTTTCCTCCGCACTCCTTCCGCAGAATGGCTGCGAAGGTGAAATCTAATCCATATTTAATGGAGAGTAATTGCATGACGATGTGCCGTGCTGGAGCTGAATAACAAAAAAATAAAAGAAGAGAACACGGTGAAGTGAAAAGACGACGGAAAAAGAAAAGTCCGCATGCGCCTCGTGTCGAGAAGAGGGGGGGGGGGTGTAATGGGTCATGTGAGAGCAAACGTGGGAAAGAGCACAGGCGCAGAAACATGAAAGAGGAAATAAAAATAAATAAATAAATAAAATGTGTAAGGAACTGGCAGCCAGAGACGCATCCTGAGGCAAAAGAAAGGAGTTCAAAGTGCTGAACAATTTTGGAAATTATTCTAATTGCGATTTTTTTTTTTACATCAATATTGCGATTTAACATTTGATTATTTTTCAATGTCTCCTTCTCAACGAACACAAAGAATAAATCAATCCGTTTCAGTTTAAAAAAACTCCAGTTTTCAGCTCCGCTACAACTTCGTTTCTACATTTTATGTGTAGCTCCATAGCAACTTGGCTAAAATGTGTGCACGAGGGCGTTCTGTACCACCTAACCATTGTTTACCAAAGCCGTAGACCCAGGACTGGTCACTATATTAATGGGCATGATGTCTTTCGCTATGAACTCCGTTACTGCTCGAGTTATTTCCGCGTGCCGTTTCAAATTGTGTTCATACGGAGTAACAGCTTCGAACTGTTCGGTCAGTGGTCCCCGTCAGCTGGTTCTTTGCTTACTTGGAGCTGAAGCACTGGTCATTGGCATTAGGCCTGTCACGATAACAATTTTTGATTGGCGATTAATTGTCTCCGAAATTATTGCGATAAATGATAATATTGTTTGTTAGTAATTATTGTCAAATTTAATAAGAAATGTTTGTTAATTTGCTGTGCATGTAGTTCCTTTTCTCGAGCACCGGATGGCAGTACAAGACTGAACCAAAGGATGGATAGTGAGGGAGTGAGCAGCGTGTATAAACAAAAAGGGAGGGAGGCCTCTTGACGTGACATGGGCTGTCTCCCTTTGGTTTTCAAAATGGCGGACGCTCGGTGTGGTTTGAGCTCTTTAGCATAGCGTTTTTCACACAAAGCTTTTAATTAAAAAAAATTAATCAGTAAACAAGTTCTCAGCTTCTTTTTGCATTTGTATACACAACGATTACTCTTTGTTAGTTTCCAAAAATCTTCCAGTGGTTTAAGGGAAATTTGCTAACAAGAGTTGAATTTGATATTTATCACAGAGTTTTGAAAACAGATCTCGCAAACTCAGTTAGCTCTTGGAGTATAAAGGGGGTTCATCCTCTGCAAGATGAGTCGAAATTGAAAATTGCATCCTTTTGTTCTCGCACCGCCTTCAAGAACTCGGTCATGCACAAACTCCTGGCTGAACTTTTTTTTTTTTTCATGCGAATGCTGATCGGTCGTAACGTTTGTGAGCACC